GGAGGCCCCACAACGGTCCCAAAACGGCTACCGATAAGCTGCGAAACTGCCTTCACGACGTCCCCGACAGGCCAACCACGAGATCCAAACCAAGGCCTCTGACCCACCACCCAGGGCACGGTGGCGGGAGCAGTGACAGCACTTGTGCACAGCATGTTCCGGCGGGAGCCTTCGGAATGCGCTGCAGGAGGAGGAGGAAGATCAGGAGGAGAGAGAGTTGGAGTGGGAGGAGGAGGAGGGGGATGAGCAGGAGGAAGAGGCCTCCCAGACAGCTCCAAGATAGCCGAAGAGGCTTCAAGAGGGCCCTGGGCGGCCCACGAGGGCCCCAAGGCGGTGCCTGAGGCGCCCAAGACGGCCTGAGAGGGCCCCAAGACGGCCCCAAGAGAGGCCCAAGAAGGGAAACATGAACCGAGAATCCGAGCTTTCTACCCCGAGAGGTTCTCGGGAAGTCCCAAGAGGCCCCCAATCGGATCCAAGAGGCCCCCAAGAAGCTTCCAAGTGGTCCGACGAGGTTCCAAGAGATCTCCCAAGGTGGCCCCAAGAGGCACAACTCATTGTTTTACGATTGGGCTTTGATTGGTTTGAATGTTTTCGGCCTTTTGGCATCCCGATGCTCCAAGACGGCCCAAGAGGCTTCCAATACCGCTCCCATATAGAGGAAGAAGCCTCCAAGAGGGCCCGAAGACGGCCCGCGAGGGCCCCAAGACGATGCTCGAGGCGCCCAAGACGGCCCGAGAGGGCCCCAGGAGCCCCAAGAGAGGCCCAAGAAGGGGAACGCGACCCAACAGCAGAGCGGTCCCCTCACAAGGCCCACAGGAGGCCGCAAGAGGCCCCCAAGTAGTCCGACGAGGACCCCAAAAGCTTCCCGAGGGCCTAAAAGACCCCTAGGAGACGTCCAAGAGGCTCTAAACTAGCCCAAGAGTGTCCTCGATGCGTCAAAACTGCTTCCAGGAGGCCCCTGGGAGGCTTCCGGATTGCCTCAACCTGGCCGCAGGTGGCCTCAAGTCGGGCCTCCACGCAGCCAAGACGGCCAATGACGGCTTCAGATTGCAGAACCGGTGCCCCCAAGGGACCCTCAGACGCCCCCCCAAGAAGCACTCCAACAGCCAGTTCACGAAACATGCGGAACACCCCAGAAGTTCCTTAGATGCCGTCGCGCGCCTGTGCTTGATAGCGTTGTCCAAGATCGTCCAGCGCCCCCTTCAGTCTGGGCTAGAACCTGAGCGCGCGCGAAGCGCGCGTGATGGTTCTAGTATGTATGTATGTATGTATGTATGTATGTATGTAGGTAGGTAGGTAGGTAGGTAGGTAGGTAGGTAGGTAGGTAGGTAGGTAGGTAGGTAGGTAAGCAGGTAGGTATGTAGGCATGTATGTATGTATGTATGTATGTATGTATGCATGCATGCATGCATGCATGCATGCAGGTACGTATGTATGTATGTATGTATGTATGTATGCATGCATGCATGTATGTATGTATGTATGTATGTATGTATGTATGTATGTATGTATGTATGTATGTGTATACTTTATATATTATATATATATATATATATATATATATATATATATATATATATATCGCAGATCCGAGCGGTTTGGGGAATCTGCGCCTGGGCCCCCCTGGCGGCGCTTCCGGCGCACCCCATGGCGCGCTCCGCGCGCCCCGATCCAAGTAATCCGCGTGGACCTCAGCGAAATTATATTGCTAAGGCCTTGCGGCCGGTGCGGCCGACCCTCGACGACAACCCCCACGATGGAAGAGGCTCTCGGGAAGGGTGGTATCAGACGCTCCCATAACGTTCCCACGAGGCCCAAGAACCCCAACAGGGGTTTTTGTTGGGGGGGCGGGGGGGGGGTCTTTTGGGAGCCTCCTGGGGCTTCCTGGCGGTTCCTTGGGGGCATCGTGGGGGCCTTTGGGGGGCCTCTCGGGCCCCGGGACCCCCCAGAGGGGATGGCATTCTGACTTGGGACCCCCTCAGGGACCCCCCCTGGGCGGGGAGGGGATCAAGGGGACGAGGCTTCCCTTCGCTTAGGCTGTTTCGCTTTGGCTGACGCGCTGAAGGAGGAGGGCCCAGGGAACAGGGGGGCACGCCGACCACGACGACGACGGCGACGGCGACGACGGCGACGAATGTCGACGACGACGACGACGACGACGACGAGTCAAGTGAAACAGCCTCTCGCACACGCCGATGGGGTCGGCGGATTAACTAATGCATTGTTGTGTCCCTCTGCCATGGCCCACCAGTTCTAGGTCTCCTAGATGGGGTCGGAGTAGATGGGGTCGGCGGATCGCTCCGCATCGCCGATGCATCGGTGATGCGGCTGGATGTGGGGCCCGATTTTCTCCACGCCAACGGCGCCGATGCATCGCCGATGTGTTGCCGATGCATTGCCCCGATGCATCGGCGATGCAACGCCGATGCATCGCCGATACAGCGTGATCCTCCGACCCCAGCTACTCGGACCCCGTCTAGGATTGTGGAGGACGATCAATGGAGAGGAAGCAGGCTGCCAAATAATATCCTGATGTCTAAAACATGTGTTAAACATGCTTCAAACATGTGGAAGACCTGTTTAAAACATGTTTAGAACATGTCCCGACATTTTAAACACAGTTTAAACTCAATGATAGGACTGTCGGGGTGTCCACTGTCGTGGAATCCGCAAATCTAGGAGGCCTCTACCAGTGCACCCGGGATTTCCTGGGAGGCCCAGGTGGCCTCCGGAGCACCCCCATCACGAGGCCCAGAAGGGCCGCCCAGGGGCTCTTCCCAGCGTCGCGGGAGCGAGGGGAAGAAGAACACACAGACACAAAGAGTCGCCGACCCCCAGGAAAATCCAAGAAAACATAGGAAGTGTGTGTGTGTGTGTATGTGTGTGTGTGTGCGTGGGGGGGGAGACGAAAACCTAGAAGACATGCGAGAATAGAGGGGATCATGGGATTTGTGTCCAGTTATTTGTGTGTGTATCCCTGGGCCCCTTTACTCTAGCAGCACCCGAAGCATCAATCGAGGAGGGAAACCTTGCGGAAGCATCGACTTGCGGATGTCTCGGTTTGGCGCTCCGGGAGTGGGCCAGGGAGTGGGCCTCCAGCGCCGATCCAAGACGTTCGCGCGGGCCTGAGCAATTTTTACGATGTTCCAGCCTGCCTTAGCCTTGACAGCCAGAAATAGTTTCGAGCACAAAAAGCAAGTACCGAAACTTGAGGGTTTTCACGCGTCGTGCCCTGGGAGGCGATGCTTGCTCGACGCTGTTTCGATACCTTCCTGGGTGCTCGAAGTTGTTTTTTGGGGGTGTGGTCCTGAAGTACGAGGGGGGCGTCGTAGTGCAAGTCGATGCTTATGCTGCGTTGCCTCCTCCTGATCACTTCTCCAAGTCGGGCGTCACCACCACGCAGCAGTTCCTTGCGGGCGCCGTCCTGGCCAACGGGCCGCACACGGGGTACCGCATGCTGCGGGCCGCGGACTACCCCTGGACGGCGAGCAGGCACGAGTTCCTGCTCGGCACCGTGCGTTATCCCTGCGAGTGGTACGTGAGCCTGTGGGCCTTCAGCACCGCGAAGCACACGGGGCCCATCTACTCCGAGATCCTGGCCCTGGACGCGGGCATTGCCGGTGACCTCTTCAACGCCTCGGGGCCGTTGGGCTCCCCGGAGAACGTCGCGCGCTTCCGCCGCTTCGTGAGGTACGCGCTGGCGCAGTCTGGGGCGCCGTTCGGAGTCTACACCACGTACTTTGCCGCCTCCTACGTGCCGACCAAGCACGTGCTGCTGGATCACCGCAACATCACGCGGCGCTCCCGCGGCGTGCCCGCCGGCAGCGCGCTCGGGGAGGCTGCGCGGCAGCGCCGCGGCGTGTGCACGGCGGTGGCGCTGCATGGCTGTCGCGATGCATCGCGGGAAGGGGGGGGCGCTTCGCTGCCTCACGGGAGGCCGCTCGGGCGGGCCGCCCGTCGTCTTGGGCGGGGTCATTCCTGGGGAGGGGAGCGCGACACCACCACCACCAAGGGAGGCGCCTCGAGCGAGGAGGTCCACGGCGCCTCCCCGAGCCGGGGACACGGGACGTCTCGAGCAAGGGGGGGTGCCCCCCCCGGCTCTTCCCGCTCGTGGTCTCCCTGGTGGTAATGCTGTCGCTTGTCCTCGTTGTTATTCACTGCGGTGCGGCGACGTGTTGTTTACTGTGCGAGTGGGTCTTGGGGTCGACTCGGGCCTCGGGTCGTCTTCGCGGCATCCTGGAGGGGCCTCCTTCGGTCCAGTCTTGGGCCTCCTCTGGGTCGTCCTGGGCCGGTCCCGGGACGCCTTAGAGGGCCGCCCTGTGGAGGTCTTGGGGGTTCGCCCTGCCTGTGTCGCGGGGGATCGCTGTCGGCCCTCTGCAGTGAGAGCGTGCAAGCAGTTCGGACACCGGAGGTCTTTGCGATTCGCGCCGCCTCCCTCCCTTCCTCCCCTCCTCCCCTCCCCTCCCCTCCCCTCCCCTCCCCTCCCCTCCCCTCCCCTCCCCTCCCCTCCCCTCCCTCCTCCCTCCCTCCCTCCCTCCCCAGGTGACTCTCCGGGGTCTCGGACACGTTGCTTCGAGGTAGGTGGGCCGTCCTGAGCGGCCTTGCGGGCACTGGTGGAGGTCTCGTAGCAGCCTGAGCGGCCTTGCGGGCACTGGTGGAGTGCGAGTGCAGTGTCGGTGCAGCTGGGCCCCTCCTGGGTCGTCGCGGGACGGCTCGGAGCCTTGTCCTGGTGGTCGTGACAGTCCCAGGTTGCCCGCTGACCTGTCGGGTTTCCCAACCCCAGCTCGGTGCCTCCAGTCTGGAGGCGCCGAGAACCTGGGGGCAAGGCGTTGTGGAATGCGAGCCCGCGCTGGGATCAGTCTCGTGGGCCATGGCTTCGAAAGATGCGGCGCGTCGTTGCTCAGTTGCCAGCGCTCTGTCAGCGCGCCCACCGCGGCGGGTGGAGGCGGATCACCCCTCTGCATCCGGATCCCCGGGCTGTGGCGCAGGTGCTCGGTAAGATGGGCTCGCGGGACCTGGCGAATGCCACCGGCGTGCATTGCTGGGCCCGCACCGAGCGCATCGTGGAGGACCTTCGCACTTGCCTGGAGCGCTACGAGTGCCGTGCAGGTGGCAACGTGTCTTGGCCCAAGTTCGACAGGCTGCAGGAGAAGGAGAAGGCCGGGAAGCTCAACAAGAACCCCACCGCGCACACGAGCTGCACCGAGTACTTCGACGAGGAGACGGAGGCCCTCGTCCGCAAGCACGACAGCCTGATGTTCGGTTTCTTCGAGCCCGCGTTCTGGCAGCCGCAGAGGTGCTGCCACGCCTGACCCTCGACTACGAGTGCCGTGCAGGTGGCAGTGTGTCTTGGCCGATATTTGATGCGCTTCGGGAGAAGGAGAAGGTCGGGAAGCTGAACAAGAACCCCATCGCGCACACGAGCTGCACCGAGTACTTCGACGAGGAGACGGAGGCCCTCGTGTGCAAGCACGACAGCCTGATGTTCGGTTTCTTCGAGCCCGCGTTCTGGCAGCCGCAGAGGTGCTGCCACGGCTGACCCTCGGCTACGAGTGCCGTGCAGGTGGCAGTGTGTCTTGGCCGATATTTGATGCGCTTCGGGAGAAGGAGAAGGCCGGGAAGCTGAACAAGAACCCCATCGCGCACTCGAGCTGCACCAAGTGTTTCGACGAGGAGACGGAGGCCCGCGTCCGCAAGCACGACAGCCTGATGTTCGGCTTCCTCGAGCCCGCGTTCTGGCAGCCGCAGAGGTGCTGCCACGCCTGACCCTCGGCCACGAGTGCCGTGCAGGTGGCAGTGTGTCTTGGCCGATATTTGATGCGCTTCGGGAGAAGGAGAAGGCCGGGAAGTTGAACAAGAACCCCATCGCGCGCACGAGCTGCACCGAGTGCTTCGACGAGGAGACGGAGGCCCTCCTCCGCAAGCGCGACAGCCAGATGTTCGGCTTCCTCGAGCCCGCGTTCTGGCAGCCGCAGAGGTGCTGCCACGCTTGACCCTCGAGGGCGACGCGGCGCCACCCCGTCGACCGCACCTCTCGCTGGCGGGTGCCCGACGAGCAGCACTGCCTTCCGGGAGGGCGCAGCGCCGGAGGTCCACCGCAAGCAGGCTCTCGGCGTTGCGTCATGGGGGGGTGGGTTACGCTTAGGGGGGGCGGCGGAGGAAGCGGGCGCCCTGGGGGCCTGATAAGGGGTACGACAGGCGCACGCCTGCTCGGCCCCCCCGTGATCGCGCCCCCTTGTGATCGCTTTCTCGTGCATTGCTTTGCCGATCGGCGTGGGCCCCCAACTCCTCCTCCCCCCCATGGGAGTAGGTCTTGGCTGTTTTTTGGCGCCTGTTTCGAGCAGGCGGAGTCACCCTCCCCCTGGGGCGCACCGTTGCAAGCAGTCGCATTAGGCCGAGGTCCGGAGCCAGACCCCCCGCCTCCCCCCCTTCCGCCCAATGCCGAACCGCCGAGAAAGAACACGATGGGCCTGCTTTCCACCACCACCACCACCATAAGTTGGAGGGGGAGGGGGTCCTCCTCCTCCTCCTCCTCCTCCTCCTCCTCGTCCTCGTCCTCCTCCTCCTCTTCGTCCTCCACCTCGTCCTCCTCCTCCTTCCCCCATCCAACTTATGGCGGTGGTGGTGGAAAACAGGCCCATCAGAACACGCTCAGCAACGCTCCAGGGCCCGCCCCCGTGGGCCTCCAGTCGAGCGCGGGGTCTACGAGGGGCCAGCCCGGCCCAGCGCTGCCCGCCAGGCTGCGGGGGGGGGCTGCCAGTCCGAGCGGCATTAGGCGGTGCGCCGCCGCGCCGCTCCGGGCGGGCGGTGGCGCTGCTCAGGGGCAGCGGCATGCCCAGACCCTCTCGAGCAATGCAAAAATCACGTCGGGAGGTTTTTCGCCATTTTCGGCCTCTGGAGGCCCTTACCAGGCTTCGGGACCGTCAGAGGACGACTCAGGGTGAGGATCCGGTCACGGGGAAGAGGTCGGAACCTCTGGGGGTCGACACAATGAAAAAATCATGACGTCGGGGGTCCAGGGCTTTGTGGGCCCCGGAAACGGCAGGGCTGTTTTTTCACGGTTTCCAAAAACATGTCCTTTGAAAATGAAAACGACAAAAAAACGGCGACCGGAAACGGCAAAAAAATAGCTCCGGAGGCGGAACCGGTCAAATAACGGCGACGGAACGGGACAAAAAAAACGGCGTCGGAACCGGCAGCAAAAACGGCAAAACGGAACCGGTGACAAAAACGGTAAGGTCCGGGGGTCCGGGGGGGGGGATGGGCTCAGGCTGGGAGCGCCCCCCAGTCGCCCACGCGTCTCGGGCAGCGGCAGTGATTCCGAGGGCAGGGCCCTGCACGAGGGTCTGCGTGGATGGCCCCTCGCTCTCTCCTCCTCGCCCCAGCCGAAGCCCCCCCCGTCTCGCCCCGCGTTGCGCCGCCTCCTCGTGCTCCTCGTCCTCCTCGTCCTCCGCCTCCTCCTCCTGCTCGCCCTCCTGGTTCAATTTCCCCTCTCCCTCTTCGTCCTTCTCCTGCTGCTGCCGCTGCTGCTGACGGCGGTGGAACTGCTGGGGAGCGCAGCCGTGGCTCCCGCCCCCCACGGCGGTTGGGAGGGGGCCGGGGCGCAGCCGGAAAATTGGCCGGGGCGCCCGCGGGGGTCGGCGAGGCGCGGGGGGAGGCGACGACGGGGGCCGGGGGCGGGGGCGAGGCGAGGCGGAGGCGAAGACGCCGCATCGAGGCAGCAGGCCTCCCATCGCTCACCCACGACTGCCGAGGACGCGCACGCGCCCCAACAGACCCCAGAAGGAGGAGGAGGAGGAGGAGGAGGAGAAGGAGGAGGAGGAGGAGGAGGAGGAGGAGGAGGAGGAGAGGTCTGGTGGGGCATGCCGTTGCAGCCGCCCTACCCTGCTGTGGCCACGCGCAGAGCTGTCGCCGACAACGCGCGTCCCCGCGCTCCCTTTTGCACCTTGCTGTCGAGGGGAGCGAGCACGAGCCAGGCGAAGGAGGGGAGGAGGGGAGGGAGGGAGGGAGGGAGGGAGGGAGGGAGGGAGGGAGGAAGGGAGTGAGGGAGGGAGTGGAGGAGGAGGAGGAGGAGGAGGAGGAGGAGGAGGAGGAGGAGGAGGAGGGGGAGGAGGAGGATGAGGAGCGAGCACGAGCGAGGAGGGGAGGGACGCGGAGGAGGAGGAGGCTGCCGCGGGGTGCCCGGCGCAGGGGTCTGTCGGAAGGGGGACAAAAACACACAGAGACACAATGCATCGTCGACCCCCAGGAAAATGTAGGAAAATCTGGGAAGTGGAGGGGAAGACAACATCCCAGAACATATGCGGAAATATGAAGAGTCCTGTTACGTGTGTCTGTTTAGTTGTGTACCCAGGGCCCCTTCGTCTGGGTCCTGCCCCGCCCCAGGTCTCTCTCCGAACCCACACCCGGCCCACGTCCCCCCCACCTCCCTGCTGGGCCCTCAGAGGGCGAGGTCGAGGTCGGCAAGGTAGGAGTCGAGGTCGACAAGACAGGAGTCGAGGTCGACGAGGCAGAAGAAGTCGAGGGGAGAGCCTGTACATGAGGCAGCCGAGGTCGGAGGAGTCAAGGAGGTATTTGGAGTCGTAGAAGTCCGAGAGGAAGTCGGTCGTGAAGTTGAAGGGAAGTCGGAGAAGTCGGAGGGGTCGGAGTGGGTGGTGGTGCTGTGACGGCGTCGGGCGAGTGGGCACCACGTTCGGTCGTCCAGGCCTGGGTTGGTGCTGGCGAGGATTGCTATCGCCAGTGGTTAGGGGCGTAGTTGGTTGACGTAGTCGTTGAGTTTGTCGAGGAACTTTGAGGTGGAGTCGTTTGCCGAAGTGATCTCCTTCTCGATGTCGACGGTCGTGTTGTAGCTGACCTGTGGTTTCCCTACCATCGTGGTAAGGGTGTCGAGCTTCTCCTGGGTGTCGTGATAGTGGGAGCTGTAGCGGTACTCGGTGATGTTATCTGCGATCAGGGCTTGTTTGCTATTTCGCATGTTGTTGGGTTGAGTGATGGTAACGCGTGCCCAGAGCTCGTTCTTGCTGTTGGTGGAACATGTTGAGTATTGTGACCTCGTCGCCCTCGTTGACAGTGATGGTGCCGTGGGCGATGGAGTCCTCAAGCTTGGTGTGGCACGAGTAGCGTATGGTGGCCCCCATAGGGAAGGTGATTGTGTCGGGGTTTACCTTGTGTCGGGGTTTACCTTCTCTTGGGTGATCGTCGTCACGGGGTACCATCCCTTGGGCTTCCGGGGCTCCACTTGGATGGGGGGTGGTTGGTTGTCGTTTGCGATGGGAATGTTGGTGCTTGGCGTCGGTTCGCAGGTGCTGGATGTGGTAATGTGCATGTGTTGTTCTTCTGCGTCGAGCTCCTGCTGTGTGATCGTGTCGCCGGATTCGGTCTTGTCCTTCGGTTGTGCTGCAGCGTCTTCCTTGACGGTCGGCAGGGTGGGTGGGGCCTTGGATTTTACCGGCTTGGGCCCTTGGTTGGGCACGCTTCGAGGGGAGGCTTGGTGAGCTGTGTTGAAGGTCGCCTGCGAGGGAGTGGTTGCTGGCATTGTGCTGGTATTTGTACTGGCACTGCTGGTAGGCATGGCAGTGTGAGTCAATTGGCCTGTGTTGTCGGTGGCGGTCATCAGTGTAGTTTGCTCTTTGTGGGTTCTTTCTTCCTGTCCGTGAGGCCGGCTCCCGCGTAGGTAATATCTCGACGTGGATTTCACGCTCGAAGATGCTGTGGTCGTCGTATGGTGCCAGTATTGGTTTCGGGCTGCGTATCTGCTTGGTGCGATGGAGAATGTGGTATACGCGTAGAGGGTGTGGGCCTCCTTCGCGTTTAGGTGCGACAACGAGCAACTTGTTGCCGAAGATGATCGGGCCGGGCGAAAGGGGGGGATATTGGGAAAGGGAGGGTTACGAAATTTGCTGCATGCAGCTGGTTTCGGCCTCACCGAGGGGCCCATTCCTCGATACATAGCCGCCTCCGGCGCTGGGAAAATCAGCTACGTGAGCTGATTCTCACCCCCCCCCTTTGCTATCCCCCCCTTTCGCCCGACCCGAGATGAGGACAGGCTTGGTGTCCTGGTTCACCTTGAGTTTGGAAAAGGGACATGCCATCTGAGTGCTCCCATTCGTGAGCTTCTGGTTCCCGTTTGTAGTCGGTCCGCATTCTGTCGAGTAGGTCGTGGAAGGTGAGTGTCATGGTTTTGTCGATCTGCTCGCGTTTGACTGGGTGCTCTGGTATAGGAATGTGGTCATTGAGGGATGCAGGCTGTGGTAGAAGCAACCGTTTTTTGTTGATGCTGAAGGCCTCGATGTTCTGGTCGGTGAGCTGCCGAGTGCAGCATGGTTCGTAGTTGGAGTCGCCTGGGAACTTCCACTGGGTGATGCCTGTCTCCGTGTTGTGGTAGTAGGCGAGGCTTCTCGTGACGTCAGCGTGCGCGGTCCAGCCTGGTGGCAATCGGCCATGGTGAGATGGATCATGTCGGAACGTTTCGCCTTGCTTGTACACTGGTGGGGCGCATGGGGCGGAAGTATCGGTTGGCCCCTGGCGTCGTTGTTCCTCCTCATCCTCATCCTCATCCACCTCCTCCTCCTTCCCTCCCTCATCTCCATCCCGCTTGCTCTTCTCATGCACCCTTTCCTCCTGGCAGGGGGGCGCATGCCGATTTTCTTCGGCGCCCTCGCCGCCGCGCCCGGCAGGGGCGCGTTCTCGGATGACCAAATCACGAAGCCGTCGGGGCAACGGCCGTCGGGATAACCCCGCGAGCCGCTGGGGCGCGAGAGCAAGCCAGTGGGACCAGTGGGACAACCCCGCAGGCACCGAGTTAGTCGCGGCCGCGCTCAGGCGGGAGGCAGCACGAAGTTCAGCTCAGCCGCGAGCTGCTCCGCCTCAGCCCATGGAGTCCTCCGCTCTCTTGTCGATCTCCTCGAACAACTTGTGACCAGGGTGCCTGAGATCCCCTTGCAATTCATTCACAGACGCGCGAGGAACGCCTCGTGCTGTGCCCATTCGGGGTGCTAAAGTGCTATGCCTGGTAGGTTTGCCGGTGGCCCGCCCAGATTACCGACATGAGGTGTTACGGGCCCCATGGGGAGGGGGCTCCCGCCTGAGACTTCCACGCTATCCACTCATAAACGAACCCCCCCGTGAGACTTCGTCCATATTCAGTCCAGAGGAGCCGGTACGTGACGACAGTTGCAGGTGCCCGATGACCCGTTCGGACTACCAACATGAATTACGGACCCCATCGGAGGGGGCGCTGGCCTGATATTGTTCCACAGTTCGCATGTACGAAACTCCCGCCCGCGACAAATTCAATATTCAGTCCACCAGAGCCGAAAAAGTGACGACGGCAACAGGTTTCGCATGAGCCGCTCGGATTGCCAACGTGAAGCGCGGGCCTCACAGGAAGGGGGGTCTCGCCTGACATGTCTTTGCAATTCGCTCACTGGCAAAGCTCCCGCCAGAGACTTCTCACACTTTCAGTCCTGAGGAGCCGAACAATGACGACGGTTACAGGTTTCCGATGACCAACATGAGCTGCGGACCCCCACTGGTTACCCGCTTGGTCTCCACAGTCAAGTTGCAGACGAGGCCCCTTATTGGTCGATGGTCACGATGATATGGTGAATCTGATGAATGTGCGATGGTAACAACAGTGACAATGAGTGTTGGTGGGTGGTGGCTGACAGATGCTGATGGTGGATCGTGGTGGTGTTGATGACGGTTGTGATGGTGGTGATGATGCTGTGTTTGATGATGGTAAAATGCGGATTACGGTCGCCATGGTGATGAATTCAATTTTGTGACAGCGACGGTCAGTGACCTTGACGGTTGTGACGGCGACGGTGATGAGAGCGCGTGCGAATACGATGATGTTGATGACGATGATGATGCGTGAGTGTGTGTGGGAATGATTTGATGACGATGAATGGGTATATGTGGCCTGAAGGTGATGGGGATGGTTGCAGTGATGATGATGGTTGTGATTGCGATTGTGCTAGTGATTGTGATGCGCCGGACAAGAGGGTTTGTTTGTGAAATGTGTGATGGTGATTACAGAGGCGTGTGTATGTAATGCTGGTGATGGTGGTGGTATTGATTATGATGAGTGCGATAAGGATTTGGATGGTGATGGTGATGAGGTGGAAGAGAGGGGGGTGGGAGAAAATCTTGCGCGGAGGTGTGCCAAGAAAACAAGAAACACCCCACTCAGGATGTGGGGAGAAACGGAAACATATCATACGGGAGATCCGCGCGGGATCCCCCGAGAGTTCATATTTGTGCCACGTTGTGCTCCTCTGACGTTGCCGATGCGGGGCCTGGGCTCATGGGTTCTCGGTGGGCTTCTGTCCTCGGGGTGCGTTCCAGCGGCTGCGCCTCGCCGAGAGCGCTGCAGGGGTGCCCGGGTCGTCCCGACTTGCCGCCAAGGCGCCGAGCTATGAGCCGAAAGCCAGGGGTGATGTAAGGGGGGGATAGTGAGGTTTAGGTTTGAGTCGGGCATGTCCCTCTGCAGGAGGAAATTTCGAGAATGGTAGAACAATAATATGGGGACGATTGTTCTATTTTGCATCACAGGGGCCTGTGGCCAATCTGCCGGCGAGGTGGCCGATTCCAGCTTCGAAACTCGAAGAAGAAACAACGGCATAACCATAAATTGTTGGCGCTCCGCGCGGATTCTCTGGATCCGCGCTGGGGCCCCTTGGCGGCGCCTCCGGCGCCGTCCTTAACGCGTTCCGCGCGCCAGGAAGGGGGGTCCGGCGAAGATCCAAGAAATCCACGCGGAGCGTCAAGAGTTTATATGTTTATGGCGTTTTCTCTTCTTAGAACGACCCCCGCTGAGCCAGACCCCCCTCTGATGGTCGTTCGCCTTCAGCCGACGCAGGCCGCCTTCAAGTTCCCGAGCGGCGCGCGGGCGTGCAGGGTCGGAAGCGGCAGGCATGCAGCTACACGGCACCACCTCGGGGGGCCAGGAACAGGTCCGCGATGCGAGATCATGTCTGTCCACCGCCAAATGGCAGATGGCGGCCCAAGCACGGATATTTGAAGGTCAACACCTGTCACCCCTAGATCCGCGCGGAAAATTATGCATTCTACCTTGTCCAGTGGCGCCGCTGCGAAGCCCCCTGGGAAAGGGCCCAGATACCTTAGTGTACACGCGCGTGGTGCCCAACCATCATCCCCTGGCCAGGGAGGTCCCGGGCGCCACAGACAGACCGACAGAGACAGACAGACAGACAGGCAGGCAGGCAGGCAGACAGGCAGGCAGACAGACATAGACGGAAACAGACATAGACGGAAACAGACATACATAGACAGACATAGGCAGACATAGACAGACATAGACAGACAGAAACAGACAGACAGAGAGACAAGAGCCACGCCCAGATGGCGCATTGGCACGCAAAGCTTCGACGGGTGATGGTGTATCTGGGCACATGCGAAAAACACACGAACTGGATCACCGGTTGCACTGCAGGCAGCTCGATTGCGTGCCTTTTGAAGCCTTTGTGTAATACAACCTCCTCCTGGGTCCTGGCCTCAGGCCAGGCGGAGATGTGCACCGCTCGGGGGCCCAGGATGTCCCTGGCCGGGGATCAGGAGGGGAAACAACACACAGAGCCACAATTAGTCATCGATCCCCAGGAAAGGGTGGGAGACTATGGGAAGTGGGGGGGAAGACGAACACCCAGAGCATATGGGAACACGTGGCTAAGCCTGGGAGCTGTGTTTCTTCCTTCGTGTGGCCCAGGGCCCCTCTGTCAGGGATGGCGGCGGTGCGCTGCAGAGCTGCCGTCGCGGGGCCCACCCTGCACGCGGCACGCCTGCCTGAGGAGCGCACGGTGCTCGGCTCCCGGGCGCTCGAGGGCGCGTGGGCGGCCGCGAGGGGGCCGCCGGGATCGGGGCGGGGCGCGCTCCCGGGCCCAGGCAAGCAGTGGCGAAGCGTCCTCGGCTCGCCTGGAGGCCTACCGAGGAATGTTCTAAGAGGCTCTCGTGGTGCCAACGAAGTGCTCCTAGAACAGTTCTGGCTGGGGCTGCCTGGTTTTAGCACATGAGGCTGATGTTCTAAGAGCATTGTTTTTTGTTCTTAGAGCATTTTTGGGGTTCTGCGAAAACTTCGTGGTAGGCCTACAGGAATGCCGGGACGGTCGCTCCCTGCTCAACCCAGGCACGGGAGACGTGCAAGATTGAGTTGTCCATGTGGCGGCAGCGTGCAGGAGGCCTTACCGGCCTGGCGCGAGCTTGCCGTGCCCGTGTTCCTCTGGTGCCCTTCTTTCCTTGGCCTTCCCGTGCAGTGCAGCAGCGGGTCTACTTGCATGGGCTCGTCAGGAGGGAGGAGGAGGAGGAGGAGGAGGAGGAGGAGGAGGAGGAGGAGGAGGAGGAGGAGGAGGAGGAGGAGGAGGAGGAGGAGGAGTTGTTGTCCTATTGGTCGGCCATGTCATCCGGGGCCCGCTGCCCCCGCACCGCGCAGGTGGTCAATAGCACCACCGTCCACGGGTTCGAGACGCAGTTCAAGGAGCCGTGCCTGCGTGCTGACGCGCTCAGGCGGCGGACGGAGACAGAGTGACAGCAGGCAGCATGGGGCACGACATAATCGGCGCACTGCTGATTATCCCAGCGTCGTGGTTCGTGCGATCTCGTGCTTCCAGGGGCAGCCAGCTGGCGGGTGGTAGCCGTGTTGGTTCAGATTGTTCGGGTTGATCCAGAAATTGTTATAGATCGTTGTCACGTTCAGAGCATGGCTACGATCTCAGCGTGTGGGCACACGCTTGGCTGTAGGCGGATTCTTGACGCGAGTGCGTGCCATTCGGGTGTCTAATCTTGTGTGTTTGGTTGGACAGGGAAGCATCGTTGTACATCATACGCATGTGCGCGCATTTGCTATTAGCTCATGCGTTGGATATTTCCGGGCTACCCATGCCCCATGTCTTGGTGATTACCATTTTCTTTCGTCGTGGGTGAAGTTGTGGATGTTTCGACACCGCATTCTTGTGATTGGCATGATGTTTTCATAGTGTCATGCGCGTGACGCTGTTGCCACAGGGAGTAGCAGTGAGTGTGTCGTGGGATAGGCGATTGTCCAACCACATCGCGTTCGCAATTCGCTCCATCGCGTTCGCAGTGTGCTTCGGGCGTGCGCCGCCCTCTCGTGTCGTCTGCTCCGCCGCCTGGGCCTGGCCGACGCCCCCCCCCCCCCCTCGCACGCGCCCCTGCCGAGGAGGAGCTCGAGGCCTGTCCGCGCGCGGCGGCAGACGCGGGTGGTGTTGCTGGGTTGCAGCGTCGGCGATCCAACGGGCACGGGGCGCATGTAGGGGGGGTAGCGGCTTGCAGCGTCAGCGATCCAAAGGGCACGGGTCGCATGCAGGTGGGAGAGAGCGGCGTCCACCCCCCACCCCCCAGCGGGTCCTTGGGTATAGTAGAGTTGGACTGGTAGGCCGACCGTTCTTGATCAAGGGCGGTTCGCGTCCCATGTCCTCTGCGTGCGTGGGGCGGCGTGGCACTCGGAAGTGCCGTGCGTCCATCCTCGCGTGCACCTTGCACATCAAGCTCGATTGCACCGCACAGTTGTGCACCAGCGGTCCAGTGTAAAAGTAATGGCGCCCTTGCGGCAAACGGCCCGAATGAGTTTTGCTGAGCTACACGATGCGGGGCCACGATGTGGGGCAGCACGATTGGGGCGCACACGATGGGGGGCGTCGTCGTCTTAGTCGTAGCAGTAGAAGATATCCAGCTGTCTGCGGCAATCCCCGCCACCCTGCCTGTGCATCAGCTCATCAAGAATGGGGGGGCCTCTTGGATCCGTTCGAGCAGCCTTCTGGTGGTCTGTTCGGGGGGCTCCTGCCGGCCTCTCGAGAGCTTCAGGGGGGAGGGCTCTCGGGGAAGTCTTGAGAGTCTCGGGCCTGGCATCGCTCGGACGTGTGCATTTTTCCTTCGGCGAGGACCATCGGGGAGCATCCTTGAACATTTGGCGAAAAAACACACACGAAACCGACAAAAAAAACAGGGAACGGACGTCCGAGCGATGGCGAGCGGGGGGGGGGCTTTGGATGGGGCCCCCTCCTGCGCTTCGTGCTCGGGCGTTGCGCGCTGGAGTGTGCTCTTCGTCTCGTCCGCACGCCGCCCCGCCCAGTCGGGCACCCCCCTTTGTGGGCCCCGGAAACGGCAGGGCGGTTTTTTGACCGTTTCCAAAAACATGCCCCTTGAAAATGGAAACGGCAAAAAGACGGCGACCGGAAACGGCAACAAAAAGGGTTCCAGGATTGGAACCGGAGCCGGAACCGGTCAAACAACGGCGACGGAACCGGTAAAAAACGGCGTCGGAACCGGCAAAAAAATGGCAGAACGGAACCGGTAAAAAACGGCCCTGTCGTTTCCAGGGCCCACTAAGGCACCCCCTCGCACACGTTCCGTGGCCCTGCAGGTCCCATCGGGAGCTCCGCCGAAGATCCCAGTGGTTACGAGGAAAAATCCAGGAGGCCTCGCGCGGCGCGTAATAGTAGTATGATCTAGTCCACTTGACAGTTCCGTAAGCTATGGGTCGACGCTCGCGCGGCGAGTCGGTCCGACGTACATCCGACGTAGATCCGTCGCAGTCCGACGCGAACCCGACGTCAATACGTCGTGGATCCGACGTGAATCGGGTCTCAAGCTGCCGCGCGAGGCCTCCAGGATGTTCTTCATGACAGTGGCAGGGTCCGCACGTCACCACCGACCAAACCACCCCAACCCAACCCGAAGGCCTCACTTTGCCCTCCGTTTCCAGAGTGGGGGGGTCGGGGAACATAGAAAAAACACCTGGAACCCGTACCCCCACCAACCCGAAATTCGGGTAAAATTCGGGTCTTCGGGTTGGGTTGGGGTGGTTTGGCAGGTAGTTAGCACGCCACCCCGCCCATGTCAGCACAGTCCCCGCACGGTTCTCGCGGCCCCGCACGACCTCCACCGAGGGCCCCGGCGGCAGTGCCAGCATGCCGCCCCGCCCATGTCGGCACCTCTCACGCCTGTTGTGTGGCCCCGTCCTCCTCCTCCCCCTCCTCCGAGCTAAGCCCTCATAGTTCGTCCCGTCTTCGTATCGCACCGCGATAGTTCCCATTCCATTCCATTCCTCCTCCTCCTCCTCTGCTTACCCTGCATTGTGGCATGCACACCTGCATATGATTGGGTCCTCCACTCCTGTAATCTGGGTTCTCTGGCCCCTGCCATGCAGCCCCCCGCGCGCTTCCCCGCCGGCCGTTCCACGTTTCGTTTGCGTGCGCCTTCCCCGTCGCGTGCGGGCGCATCCGTCAGTCATGAGCGTCCGCGTTGGTTAATGGCTAGGACGGTTTGGCACACTGGGTGGATGCGCACGTAGCCGGCCCGCCCTGCCGAGCGTTTCAGCCCACGCCGCCCGGTTGCCGCCCATCGCTTCGGTGGCAGAAACCACCACGCCGACCTTGAGTCGACCCACCCGCTGAGCATCACCAGCGGCCTGGTCCTGCCCTCGGGTTGGGGGGCGCGGCGTCGCGACAGGTGGGGGACATGCTCCTGGTGCACCACCCGCACTCTCTGGAGGTGGAGCGCGGGGCGGAGAGTGAGGGCGGGGGATGATGAGAGCGGCGTCGGTGAGGATGTCGATGACCCTGCAGGGTCCATTTCGAGCCGATCGATCCAATTGGATATCGGTTTCGGCCAGCCGATCCGATTCGATTCCAATGTTATGGCGATGCGGTGCGGCCCGATGTCTGCGTGGCGCTGTGGTGAATCCTGGCGTGGCCGCTGCGATTCGATGTCGATCCTGTCCGAGTGCAGCCAGATCCGACGCACAGTTCGATTCGATCCGATCTCCCAGTGCGATGCTGATAGGTCCTTCTTCCCTGACCCGTGCGCCGTGAAGACACGCGACGGATGCGTTTGCCCCGTCACGGGGCCGGGGGCTCACGGGTCGGTTTGGCTTTGTGGACATCTTGCAGTGAGATGGGTTCGGGAGGTATGGTCATTGCTTTTCATTGCGCTGTATTTCACACGGTGTCCGACGTCCGAGGGGGGAAGGGTCACGGTGAGTGTGATTCAGGACGAGGACAGGGATGCCGACCAGGACGGGCCAGGCAATTGCATGCAGATTGAAGCCACCGCGGAGAGGAGAAAATGCCATCGCCAACGTGAGGTCCTTCCGACGAGGAGGGGTGGAGGATGACGACGGCCGAGGAGTGGAGGAGTCGAGTCGAGGAGGAGGAGGAGGAGGAGGAGGAGGAGGAGGAGGAGGAGGAGGAGTTGGAGGAGGAGGGGCAGGGGGAGGACGTTGAGGACGGGGAGGACGAGGAGGAGGAGGAGGAGGCGGAGGAGGCGGAGGCAGAGGGGGAGCAGGAGGAGGAGGCGGGCCCCCGGCACGGGGAGGGAGAGGAGCGGGAGGCGGAGCGGGGCGCCGCGCAGGAGGCGAGGCAGGCGGAGCCCTCTCGGGTGGAGGGCGGGGGAGGGCGAGGCGCGGTTGGAGGAGCCAGGGCGATGAGCGGCAGGAGGAGCGGCAGGAGGAGGGCTCGGCACGCGCGATATGGGTACAGAAGGACTGGGCACATTGCCCAACAGCAGTTCCTGTTCATCTTGAACAGGACTCGCTGTCCGCGCCGCCGCGGCCTCTGTCCATTTGAGACAGAAGGCCGCCTGCCCAACAGCGGCCGCTGTTGGTTTGGGACAAGATTTGTTGTTGGGCACTGTACCCATCTTTTCCGTACCCATTTCGGGCGTCCAAAAGTGCGGCAGGAGGGGCGGAGAATTTGCAATGTCTGCAGCAGCAGCCGAGCGGCACGAGGGCCGGCCGTGGAAGCGAGCAGCGACACAAACATGACAGCTCGGAGGTCCGCGCGGATGTCTCGGGTCGGCGCTGGGCCCCCTTGGCGGCGCCTCCGGCGCCGCCCCCGGCGCGCTCCGCGCGCCAGGGGGGAGGGGTGTCCAGCGCGGATCCAAGAAATCCGCGCGGAGCGCCAAGAGTTTATGGCCACGTGGTTGTTCTTCTTCTGTCAGAGCGTGAATTACCTACCCCGCTTTCGCTTCCAGGCAAAACCAAGCCATACCACGCGCCTCCTCGTCAAGCGGCCTGACCAGTACAGGCTGCAATTTGGCATCGTTTGGTATCTCTTGGAAGCGAGGGTGGTCAGAAGCGAGGTAGGTTTGTTTTCCTCCTCCTTCTGCCCATGTCGAGACGCCGAGTCACAGAGGCGCGCACAAGGCGCTCGCGGCCTCGCCGCGCGGCCTGCCTGTGCGGATATTGGCTGGGCGGCCTGCGCCCGCCCGGCGGCGCGCGGCGCCCGGGGCGAGGCCGCGGCTGCGGGCGGCCGATGCTCGCTGGACCCCCCCGGGTCGGGTGCCTGCCCCCCCCTCCCTCGTTTCTCGCAGGCCTAGAGATTGACACCAACACCAATTTCGGCGGTGTGCCTCCACCGAGGGATGAAGATCCCGATCTCGGTGATGGTGGTAATAGTCTAGGCCTCCTAAATGGGGTCGGAGAAGATGGGGTCGGAGGATCGCGCCGCATCGCCGATGCATCAGCGATTCGGCTCGATGTGGAGCCCGATTTTCTCCACGCTGGCGTCGCCGATACATCGCCGACGTCGCCGATGCATCGCTGATGCATCGGCGATGCATCGGTGATGCATCGCCGATGCATTGACGATGCGGCGCGATCCTCCGACCACATCTACTCCGACCCCATCTAGGAGGCCTCTAAATAGTCTGGCTTCCAAGGTGGCCGAAATATTACCACCAACACCAATCTAGGATCATATTCCCCCTGTGGAGGCAACCCCCCTGGGTTGGTGTTGGTGCCCATTTCCAGGCCTCCAAGTTTCGGGCGTTTCGAGTCGGGGGGGACGACCAACATCGAACTGTTTGGCGCTCCGCGCGGATCTCTTTGATCCGCGCTGCCCCCCCCCTGGCGGCGCCTCCAGCGCCGCCGCTGGCAAGCTCCGCGCAGACCTCCGAGTTTATGCTTATGTCATGTTTCGCTCCCCTAGTTTCGAGCGTTTCGAGGCGGGGGGGACGGCCAAAGGGGGGGGGCGCTGGGGGGTGGACAGAACCCCCACCCTGACACGTCGATTGGTGGATTGTCCGTCTTCGGTTCTCGAGAGGGCGCCACGGCCGTCATTTTCCAGGCTTGCGCCTGCCAGGTTTGGGCCCGAGGTCGTCGTCTTCACTGAACCGCGTCTCCTCCTCCTGCTCCTCCTCCTCCTCCTCCTCCTCCTGCTCACCAGCCTCGTCCTATACAGGGGAAGCCCATGCCAAGAAACACTCTGCTTGCCTCCAGGGTGCCCTGGGTTTCTTGGGCCTCGATGGTTCTGCTATATTGAAAGCGTCACGCTCCCACGCCAACAATCAATGGACGCCCTAGGGCCTCAGGGTCGGATCTCTTGTGAAGGGTTTCTTGTGGTCGAGTTCCTGCTGTAGTAGGGAAACAAAAGTGGCATAAACATAAAAACTCGGAGGTCCGCGCGGATTTCTCGGATCCGCGCTGGACCCCCCTGGCGGCGCCTCCGGCGCCGCCCCTGGCGCGCTCCGCGCGCCCGAGAGGGGGGTCCAGCGCCGATCCGAGAAATCCGCGCGGACCTCCGAGTTTTTATGTTTACGTCATTGTTTGTTCCCCTATGTCTACCCTCCCCCCGATAGTGCCCCCCTGGCCGAACCCCGGCAAGCCGACCCCTTCGGTGACGACCCCTCGCCCCGCGCCGGGGCAGCGGCACGACGCCGGAGTGCGAGGCCCCGCGGGGGAGGGGGGCTCGGCACGGAGGGGGCTCGTCGCGGGGCGGGGCGGCGAGGCCGCGCGCGAGGAGCAGGAGGGGAAGCGGGTGGCGAGGAGGAGGAGGAGGAGGAGGAGGAGGAGGAGGAGGAGGAGGATCTGTTCGAGGAGCAGAGCGGCATCGACGTGGGCTTCCGCAGGCCCACGCGGAGTTCTTGGGCCGGCGCTGGCCACACCTGGCGGCGCCGCCCCGGGTGCACTTTGCGCGCCAAGGGAGGAGGGGTCCAGCGCCGACCCAAGGGGGTGTCGGGGCACCCTTAGAACGCGAGAAAGGGGAATTCAGGTTTTTGTTTGTAATGCAAGTGTAGGGTCTACGATGCAGTGCGACGTTGATTGGAGAGTGCGCCACTGATCAGCATGCAAACCAGGCTCATGCCCTCGTGCTGCAATTCCGCATTTGCGGTGGAAGAACAACAGGTGAGTGACACGGGTGATGAACGCCCTAGATTTTCATCGTGAGATTCTCGTCCGAAGTGTGACGAAGCGTTCGCCCACGAGTTATGTGGGCATACCCACGAGTTATGTGGGCGTTCGCCGACAACACAGCGCGAGTACCTGCTCACGCTCCCGCTCTGTCATGAGCCCGCCTCCATCCTCTCAACTCCCAGAGGGGGAGGAGGAGGCTTCTCTGCCCTCCTCCTCCCCCTCTCCCCCCTTCCTCCTCCTTCTCCTCCTCCCCTTCCTCCTCCCCTTCCTCCTCCTCCTCCTCCTCCTCCTCCTCCTCCTCCTCCTCCTCCTCCTCCTCCTCCTCCCCCTCCTCCTCCTCCTCCTCCTTTTCGTCGTCGTCCTCCTCCTCCTCCTCACTCGTGCCGGCCGCCCAGGTGGAGGGCCGCATTGTCACCGGCGTCCTGAGCCAGAGGAGCTGCACCCTGCACTCGGCGTTCTCCAAGGCCCCCTCGCCGCTGGGGACGACGTCCAGGAGGAGGAGGAGGAGGAGGAGGAGGAGGAGGCGGCGGAGGAGGAGGAGGAGGAGGGCGAGGAGGAGGAGGAGGAGGAAAAGGAAGAGGGGCGAGGAGGAGGAGGAGGAGGGGAGGGATGAGAGGTGGTGGTCGGATGGCTTGCAGATATATGGCTTATATTCTCGTAGTGGCTAAATGATTTCCTGATGTTGTCGCGTGCATTCAATTGTAGTCTCTGACGTTTCTGGAACTCTCGGTGCAGAAGAAGGGAATTAATTCAAACAAGAAGGACACACGAGTATGATAAGGGAGGAGGAGAGTGAGTAGGAGGACGCAGCGGAGGCGTAGGAGGAGGTGAGAGGCAAACGAGGCGGAGGCGAAGGGGCGTATGAACAGGAGGATGTGGACGACACGATTCGATGGGGTCAGGTGTTCCAGAAGGCAGGCTCAATGGGTCTGAGGAGGGAGGAGGAGGAGGGTGAAGCAGGAGGAGAACGAGGGAGGGAGCAGGAGGAGGAGGATGAGGAGGAGGAGGGGATGGAAGGAGGAGAAACAGGGGAAGGATGGCGGGTCGGGGAAGAGGGAGGAAGGGGACAAAGGAGGAGAGTGACAACGACGATGAAGGCGACGAGATCGCGCAGGATCATAGTCGGGTGGAATTTGGAGGATAGTTGAAGATGGATATGTAGGACATCGGAAAGTGAGGGATGATGATGGGGGGACTGTAAGGAGGAAGGAGAGGACAGGAAGTAATAATGAGAGAAGGAGGAGGAATGGGGATGATGATGAGGAGGAGGAGGAGGAGGAGGAGGAGGAGGAGGAGGAGGACCGCGACGAGCATGCTGAGGACGAGGAAGAGAGGAACGGAGAGGGAACTGGACGGAGGCTGCTGAGAACGAGGAAGAGCCGGGCGAGCAGGGGGATGATGATGATGAGGAGGAGGAGGAGGAGGAGGAGGAGGAGGAGGAGGAGAGGAGGAGAGGAGGAGAGGAGGAGGAGGAGGAGGAGGAGGAGGAGGTGGAGGACGACGACGACGAGGAGGAAGGTCGGGTGAGCGTGCGTCCGGAGGACATCTCCTCGACCACGGAGTACCACATCCGCAAGGACTCCGTGAAGCTGAAGCAGAAGGCCAAGGACAGCGCCACGGGCGGCCTCCCGCGGGCCTCCGGGCGCGCGCGCGCGAGGGCCTTGGCATCGCTCGGACGTGTGCATTTTTCCTTCGGCGAGGACCATCGAGGAGCATCCTTGATCATTTGGGGAAAACACCACGCACGAAACCGAAAAAAGCACAGGGAATGGACGTCCGAGCGATGGCCAGGGGCGCGGACCGCCGGGCCGCGCCGCAAGCATGGGCCGCGCCCTTCCCTTATGTCGGGCCTGTCCCCCTACAGGGGGATTTTCGACGAACAATAAGAAATAACAATAACCCAATAAGGGCAAATAATACAAAAAAATATCCCGGCAAAGCAACCTAACAGCGATGTGTAGAAGCATATCTGAAAGCATTCCCCTTAAGATTCAGATGAAAATCCAGTTGTACAATTCTGCTGTTCTCGCAGTCGTAGTCGCATTCGCGATGACAGTCGCAGCGGCAACGGCTGTCGCAGTCACAGCCTCAGCCTCAGCCTGCCTCAGCCTCAGCCTCAGCCTGCCTCAGCCTCAGCCTGCCTCAGCCTCAGCCTCAGCCTGCTTCAGCCTCAGCCTCAGTCTGCCTTCAGCCTCGGCCTCAGCCTCAGCCTGCCTCAGCCTCAGCCTGCATCAGCCTCAGCCTCAGCCTCAGCCTGCCTCAGCATCAGCCTGCCTCAGCCTCAGCCTCAGCCTGCCTCAGCCTCAGCCTCAGTCTGCTTCAGCCTCAGCCTCAGTCTGCCTTCAGCCTCGGCCTCAGCCTCAGCCTGCCTCAGCCTCAGCCTGCCTCAGCCTCAGCATCAGCCTGCCTCAGCATTCAAAATGTGGCCCAGGAATGGAGTTCTGGGAACTCGAAGAACACGAAGTGGCCTACAGTTGGCTCCGGGCATTCAAAATCATGCCCAGGAATGGAGTTCTGGGAACTTGAAGAGCACGAAGTGGCCTACAGTTGGCTCCGGGCATCCAAAATGTGGCCCGGGAATGGAGTTCTGGGAATCGAAGAGCACGAAGTGGCCTACAGTTGGCTCCGGGCATCCAAAATGTGGCCCGGGAATGGAGTTCTGGGAAGTCGAAGAGCACGAAGTGGCCTACAGTTGGCTCCGGGCATCCAAAATGTGGCCCGGGAATGGAGTTCTGGGAGCACCAAGAGCGATTTTGCGAGGATGTCCCAAGCGATTTCGGCTTCGGCGGCAGCCTCCCCGGGTCCCGCCCAGACCCCCCTGAGGAGTCATGATGCTCTCTTTTGACACCACTAGAAACCTATCAGCAAGAGCTGTTAGGTAATAATCCCCAGGCTATTTGTGGACTATATTTTAAATATTTTTGGGGTATGTTTTATTTTTCGTCGAAAATCCCGCTGTAGGGGGACAGGCCCGACTTAACCCTTCCCCCCGGCGGCACGCGTGCCTTGGCTCGGGCACGGGCGGAGGCCGCCGGGCGGGGCTCGGACGAGGTCACGTCCGTTCCAGAGCGTCCCGGAGCGCCCTCAGAGCGCTGCGGAGCGCTCCGAAGAGGCGAGGCGCCCGAGACTCGAGCAGTGGCGAGGCGTCCTGGCGTGCCTATAGGCATACAGTGCCGTTTCTAATGCATGCTCCGCGTGCGGGTCATGTATTAAAAATGCAGGGATCCAGTACTAAAAACAACCATGAGTTCATGCACACATTTATGCATAAATTCGTCATGCTTCAAAATCTAAAAGAAGAGATATGTATCAAAACAGCCCCAGCCAGAAAGGCTCTTAGAGAGCATTTCTGGCTGGGACTGTTTTGTGTTAACACATGTGGTATATCTTCTAAGAACATTGCTTTTTCTAAGAATATATTTCGGGTTCTAAGAACATTCCGTAGTAGGACTAAAGGAATGCCCGGACGGTTGGTCCCTGCTCAAGAGACATCCTCCAGAAACGCCAGATCTCAGAGGTTCTCGATTCATCCTCACCCGATGTGATCCTCGCCCTGGCGTCGTCTTGGGAGGGTGCCGAGGACTGGAGCTGTCCAGGGGTCTGGGGCGGCCTGGCACTGGTTCTGGCCCGCAGGACGAGGAAGAGGTCGGGCAGGTTCGAGGCGCTGGGTCCGGGGAGGGTCTGGCCCTTTCCCTACTCCGCGGGCCTTTTGCAGGCCGCGAGACTGTCAAGCATGTATCCCAGGTGAAGATCTGCGCCAGGTGGATTCCGGGAGTGGTCTGGGGACCGATTTTGAGCGGAGCCGGCCGCCTGCAAGGGGAGGGTGCCGAGGAAGCGCAGGCATGTGCCACGGCACGCGGAGTAGCGACGGGCCCGGACTCTTCCCGAGAGATGAGCGCGTTCCATCGCCAGAGCTCTTCCTGATCACTGGATCAGCGCCCACGCGGCAGGTCCACGGATCCGCAATCATGGTGCCGCGTGGCCGAGGGTTGGCGTGGGGGGCTGAGGTCCGGGAGGCGCACGACGACGAACGACGGCGTCGAAAATACGTCAGTGCAAGAGAATCGTGTTCGGTGCTTCCGCGATCGTTTCGTCTCCGATGTTTGAGGCGAGCGGCGCGACTCCTACACGCTTCCCGCCTCCCGAGGCGAGGGCCCACTCTGGAACCGCGGGGGCCAGGAAGAATATGTCCGCGACGAAGACGCGGTCCTGGGGAAGGGTCCAGGCTCCTGGAGGTTTCGGGGCCCTGGGATGGTTGCCATTCGCCGCGCCTCGCCGAGAGCTCAGTTGCGAGGCCCAGGCAGTCCTGAGTGGCCATTCGGGGCCCGAGTTATGGCCCGAAGTCTTCTGACGGCGGCGGACTCTTCTCCCAACACATCTGAGTAGTTGGCTCCCTGTTTTCACTCCGCTGCGCCGCGGGTCTCCTTCCTCCCTCCTCCTGCCTCCTCCTACCCTTCTCGCCGCTGCTGCTGTTGCTGTTGCAGCCGCGGCCAGTTGCTGCTCTTGCCCCAGTGCCAGCCTCTGCTGCTATTGGTTGTTGCCCACATGTCCGCCACCTTGTATGGTTTGGCACATCCCTAACTTGGATCATGCCCCTTAGTGAACTTCGCCGATGACCGAAGTGGGCACGTCCATACTCCTCATTACGTCAAAATCTGCACTCCTCACATAGGTCGTGACCAGTAGGCCGCTGCACCCACGGCCCCCGCGATGCTCGACTCGGTACACCTTTCGCATAACGTGCGCCGTCGGAGCTCCAAGTCCATCCCTGCCGCGGCGCGCAGTACAGGAGGACAGGGCAGTTGCGCTAGACGCAGAAGCACGGGGCTGGGTCGCTCGCTAGGCCCGGCGGCAATTCGGACACCTGTTCGCCCGGTTTGGGGCCTTGGGGACCAGAAGGCAGGCCTTGGCAACAGACATGCATCTGCGATGGGGCATCGCTGTGTGACCCGTTTCGAGCAACCACGCTTCACACTGATTCATCCCGTCTCCTCCGCCACCCTCTGCAACAAGACAGGGCCACAGATGCAGAAGCGGTGTTATGCTTGATCGATGCTCCGACTTTCTGTCAGGCTCTCGTCAGCCACCCCTCCTGACACGCAAGGGCAACTGCCTGAGCCCGCTGCAGAGAGGACAAGTTCTGGGGCCGAGAGCGCTGGAAGCCACGCGCCGTGAGCAGGAGCCGAGACCTCGGAGGTTTGGAGCATCCCCGGGCAGTTTGGATGCCTCTTGGGCTCTTGGGGGCTGTTTCGGGGCCTCTTTTGGGCCTCTCGGGGGCCTCTTGGGGGCCTCTTGGGGGCCTCGCTGCGCCTCCTGCGGCCTCCTGGGGGCCCCTTGGGGCGGAAGGCTCGGATTGTCGGTTCGTGCTCCCTCTCTGGAGCCCCTCCCTGGGGCCGCCGTGGGGCTCTCGTGGGACGGCCTCTGCGGCCCCGCCCGTCTCGCCGCCCTCCCCTTTCTACCCCCAGGGAGCCGCGCAAGGGAAGGAAGAGGGCAGTGCCCGGAGCGCAGAGTCGCCGAGGCGGCCGGCGTCGAGGGGCCTTTCTGTGGCCCTGCGCGTCGTCGTCGTCGTCGTCGTCGCCGTGGTCGCAAGGATCCCGTCGTCGTCGCCGCAGTTCGTCGACGACGGTGTCGACGTCGTCGAGGTTGCGACGACGACGACGGCGACGAATTCGGGCGGCGTCGTCGTTGAAGAGATCATTCCTCCTCCTCCTCCTTTGCCTCCTCCTTTCACCACTCCTTATCCTCGCGTTTATTTCCCCCTTCAACTTATTATTATATCGGTCCTCGTCCTCCTCTCCTCCCACCCCTCCCATCCCTCCTATGGGAAAGGCAGGTGGGGGTAAGTGAGGAGGAGGAGGAGGAGGAGGAGGATAAGTGATAGTAGGAAAAGTGGGAGTGGGAAGAGGATGGGGATACGGAGGAGCAGCAGGAGCCGAATGCTGGGATGTAGCTCTTCCTCGGCCTCCTCCTCCTCCTCATCCTGCATTCACCTCTCCCCAAGCGATATGGGGACTGACGGGAGTAGCAGGAGGAGTCATTTCTACGCATTTTGTTGCTCCCTGCAATCCTCCATCCCCCCTCGCTCATGACCTGCACCGACGGGGAAGGATACGGAGGTCTGATGAGGAGGAGTGACCCCTCGAAGCCTTACCCGTCGGTCGTGGAAAGTATGTATTAGTGGACGCCCAAGTCCCAATCTACTTCAGGTGCCTTCCTACTTCAAGAGTCGAGTGGCATTCCCTCCGCCTTCGTTCTCAGTGGGCGGGCGGAAGCCCAATCTACTCTCAACGCCTTCCTGCGTCATGCTTCTACACACTTCCTCTGACCGACGTGTACCCCCTTCCTCAAGATCATGCTCCTCGTCCTTCCCGCCCGCCTCCTACCACTCTCCCTCCTCTTCCTCCTCCGCACCCCTCCATACGAGATGTGATGATTCACGTGAATAACAGAGGGAGGATGGGAACGATGAGGATGAGGATGGCGAGGCACAGGATTGATGGGAGCGTGGGACGAGGAGGAGGAGGAGGAATACACCCCCATCGACTTCATAATGCCCCCCCTTCTCGTCTTACAACTCCTCGTTCTCCTCCTCCTGCTTCTCCTCCTGCTTCTCCGATCGCCACCCAATCCGTCCCCTTCCCCCAGGACAGCTGCATGGAGGAAGAGGAGATACCATGAGCATGAGCAGGGCGAAGATGTGATGGTGAGGAGGAGGATGAGGAGGCGAAAGGAGGCAGGATGCGGCTGAATAACTCCTTCTCTTCAGCATCATATTCATCCTGCGCCTCCTCTTCCTTTTCCTCATATCGCCCCTCAGCCTCAACCTACCACATCATCCTCATCGTCCTCCTCTACTCGGAGATTCATGGGGAGGAGGAGCGGGAGTCGAAGGATGATGTGCACAAGGATGATTCGCAGGACGATGGGTGACGTGAGCAGGAGAGGGACGGTGAGGATTCGCGGCCCCTCAACTCCACCTCATCATTATCATCTTGATCCGCATCCTCCTACTCCAGCCGCATCATTTGCCCCCCCCCCCTCCTCATCAGATCACTTGTACCCCCCCCCCCCCCGGTGATGATCGTCTTCTTCCTCCCCCCATAGAGTAACAGCAGACGGTTGGTATCGTAAATTATGGTGAGGGGGATGTGGCTCAGGGAGAGTGACAGAAGGAAGGCGAGGAGTAGGAGGGCGCACCAACCCCTAGTGGTTCTCCATCGCCTTTTTTTATCAGATCAAGATTCCGTGTTCTCCTCCTCTTCGCACCCAGATTTCTACCATAGAATAGCGGACGGAGGGTGGCAGAGAATGGTGAGGAGGCGACGGGGGGGGTGATATAAGGAGGGTGGGACAGCGGAGGAATTGTGATAGGAGCAGGGTGGTGTGTGATTCCTCAGGCCTCTCCTCCTCCCACCCCTCCCACCCCTCTCCTGGTCCTTCACGTCCTTCTCCTCCGTACTGGCATTCCCATCTCAGTCTGCCTCGTCCTCTCAATATAGGAGAGGCGGGGTTGTGGCATGAGGAGGGGGAGGAGGAGGCATGATTGATGCAAGCAGCAGGAAAAGCAGGATGAGGCATGACTCTTCAGCCTCCTCTTCCTCCTCATGCCCACTGGGTGTCCCCTCTCTAAGTGAGAGCTAGATGCAAACACACATGAACAGACATGGTCGAAAGCACAGGGAGTCACAGTGTTGGTGTTGCTATTGTTCTCGTCGTCAGTGTGCGTGTGTCCTTGTTGTTGATCTGCGTTTTGTGTCGGCCCTTGGTCTCTGACCTGCCCGTCTGGGCTCAGGACCCACGGGGCTTGGAGCCAAGCGAGCAACCCATCAAACAACACATCAGCACATGCACCTAACCAAACAGTGGTTGACATTCTTCGTTTTCAACTGAATCGGTGTACCATTACATGTACTTGACTCTGGTTGTATGTGTCGAACACGCAGGGCGTCACAGTTTGGTTTGCGTTTGCCTTGTCGTGTACATATATACCTATTTGTACACATAGATGTGTATCAAGCAGTACTTCAGCAGTGCTTGCATTCTGGGGTTCTGCTGCTCATTCTAAGGAGCTGTTCTGTCCGCAGACCTGGCGGCCCCGTTCCCGTCCGCCGCCGCACCACATAAATTACACCGAATAGTTTGCACCACGTAGATTGCATGACAGAGCTTACACTACATAGTTTGCACCACACAGCTGGCACCAGACACAGCTGGCACCACAGAGTCAGCACCGCGCAAATTTCATCACACAGCCTGCACCACACATATATAGCACCACGCAGACTGCATCACACAGCCTGCATCACATAGACTGCACAGCACAGCTTGCACCGCAGCGCTGGCACCTCAGGCGCACACGCTTGCAGTGCAGTAGCTGGGTCCCACGCTGGCTGGAATACGGTGTGCTGCTGCTGTGTGACTGTTTGCCTCAGGTCTCGGGCCTGCCCGTCTGGTCTCGGGACCCGCAGGGCTCCGGAGCCACGCAGGCAGAAGCACACACACGAACCACGCGAGGCAAGCGCCAAACAGCAACACCACAAGCAGGGCAGACGCTGGACGACAAGCAGAGCACATGACCTTGACTGCATCCTGGATGGAGCTGCCACAGGTCAGTGAAGATGGGCGCGCTTGCTTTCGCGGGCTTGCGTGTGCTCCGATTTTTTTTTTTTTGGGGGGGGGGGGGGGGCGCACGCCCCTCTGGCCCTCGGCCATTCCGTAATGAGAGCAAGAGAGGGAGAGAGAGAACAACAAAACAAAATTAGACACAGAAAGAGACAGAGACGGGGAGAGAGAGAGAGAGAGAGAGAGAAAGAGAGTCAGAGAGACACAGAAAAGGGGGACAGAGGAATATCACGAGACAGAGGAATCGATAGAGAAAGAGACACAGAAAGTTAACGACCATGGGAAAGGGAGACGGAGAGAAAGAGAGAGAGAGAGAGAGAGAGAACTAACCGACCAGTGGGGGTAAATAAAGCCTACCCCCCCTTAGCCCCCTCTATTTTCATTTTCCCCGTTCAACAGGATTTACTTGTGGAGAGGGGCGCGGGGACCGAGTTTAATCATCAACGGAGGGAGTTGCGAATCGAAGTTACGATCATCTCATGTTGACTAACAAAACATCAAGAACGCTGCCGAACGCCTGCTTGCAAGTCATATAGCCACGAGCCTCAAGTCATATAGCCACGAGCCTCGAGATCTCCCGAGTCAGTCTTGCGCCGAGTGCCCAGGATCACCATGATCATGATCATCGTCATCATCATCATAATCATCATCATCATCATCATCATCATCATCATCATCATCATCATCATCATCATCATACTTACTTTCCCCGGGACAATCCGTTAGTATCCCCGCCAGACCCCCGAATTTGATTATCCTTCGTTGATTATGATCGCTCGTGGTCGGTTCGAGAGAGAGAGAGAGAGAGAGTTAGAAAGAGAGCAGCACCAACAGCAAAGGAGTGAGCACAACGCAAAGTGCGAAGAACGCGAGCCAGTCAGGCAATCGTTGGTTGGCCTCCGGGCCCTGTGGGGGAAGCAAGCGCATCAATTCTCCATGGGTCGGCCTCTGGGCCCTGGAGGTGGGGGGGCCCTGGAGGCTGCCTGGGCCTCCCGAGGCCTGGGCCTCCCGAGGGGTCCCCGAGGGAGGGACCTCCAGGGGCTGCCTGGGCCTCCCGAGGAGTCCTCCCGAGGGGCCTCCCGAGGGGCCTCCCGGGGGGCCTCCAGAGGCTGCCTGGGCCTCCCGAGGGGTCCCCGAGGGAGGGACCTCCAGGGGCTGCCTGGGCCTCCAGAGGAGTCCTCCCGAGGAACCCCCGAGGGGCCTCCCGAGGGGCCTCCAGAGGCTGCCTGAGCCGAGGGGTCCCCGGGGACGTCTCGGGCCGCGGCGGGCACCTCGGCACCCGGGCGCCCCAGGAGCAGATCCAGCAGGCCGGCACGGACGACCCGGAGGCGCTCCAGGACGCCACCTCCCAGGAGCTGCAGAGGCTTGTGTCGGGGGGCAGGGAGGGCGCCGCACCTGGAGCCGCCTCCTCCTCCCTCCTCCCTCCTCCTCCCTCCTCCTCCTCCTGTCCATCCATCCTCCTCCCTCCTCCTCCTTCTCCTTCTCCTCTTCCTCCTCCTCCTCCTCCTCCTCCTCCTCCGCCTCCTCCTCCTCCTCCTCCTCCTCGTTCTCCTATGTGTTTCCCCAGCGAGGCCCCGCGCAGCCGTCTTGCCCGCGGCGGGCGCGGCGGGCGGATGGGCCCGTGCAAGGGAGCCTCCAGGCGCCGAGGGCGTCGCGAGCGGACTCGAGTGTGGCCTGCGCCCGAGCGAGGTCACGAGCAGTGCCGCGAGCGACACACCGAGCTCGGCGGCAGAGGTTCCGTCGGCGCGCGCTGCACGGCGGCGGGAACGCCTGCGGCAAACGGCGGCGCGGCGGGCTCAGGCGCGGGCCGTGGAGGTCATGCAGCTGCTAGACCCGCCCGCGCCTCCGCCGGCTGCGCACCCCATGCTGGCCGACGCCTTCGGAGAGGGACTGGCGGCGGGCTGGAAGCTCGCAGTGGTCGAGCTGACGGGAGTACCGTGGTGGGGCGAGCAGTGGATGTAGGCATGCTTGAAAGAGCCAGATATGAGCAGCTACTGCGCCGCGACCAGCCCTTGCGACAAGTGGGAGGGGCAGCTAGAGCCCAACACGACCAGCTACAACGCTGCGATCTGGGCGAGCCTCAACCCTGGGAACAGCAAGTACGCGACGTGGGAGCCCAACACGACCATCTACAGCGTTGCGATCAGGACGTGCGAGAAGAGAACGGCGAAGCTAGAGCCCGTTATCCCTAACCACGATTATCGGACTTGCGAGGGCGACCAGTGGAAGGCGAGGAGTGAGTCCGACGCGATCAGCTACAGTGCGGGGACCAGTACGTGCGAGAAGGAGACAGCGAAGCTGGAGCCCACTATCTATCCCAGCCAGAGCCAGAAGGGAAAGACGGAGCCAAACGCGACCATCTACAGTGCTGCGATCAGGGTAACAGTGGTGGATGCCAAGCTGGAGCCCAATATCACTAGCGTTTCGTCCTGAGGTCCCCTCGTCGCCACGGCTGGATCTGCGAATCGGAAAGCGGTTCGATTACAGAGGCGAAGGAGGAACCCGACGTAACCAGCTACAGCACGGAAGTCAGTGGCGGTGGCACCAGCGGGGGCCCTCTAGACAGAACGTGCGAGAAGTTTGAGGCGAAGACAGAGCCTGATCTGAGCAGCTACAGTGCGGCAGATAGGACATGCACCAGCACGGCGATGTGGCGAGCGCGAGCCGAGATCTCCCGCAAGTGGCTAGGCCCGAGCAGGTGCCAGCGCGAGCAGAAGGATGAAGCGAAGCCCAAGCCCGACGCCGACAGCTAACAACGTGGAGAAAGGTAGCCAATGGGAGGCGCCGGGCATCCATGGAGAGTGGGAGCCCTTACCAGGGGAGGACCAGCATAATATCGAGACCAGATCGCAGAAGTACGTCATCACACCCAGCAGGAAGTTCAGCCCCCTTCACCCTGCTGGGCTCGAACGGTAGGCCCACGTGGCCATTCAGACCCGAATTCGCAGGGCAAGGGGCGCGTCCAGATAAGGCGCGCGTGAAAAATGTGAGAGAGGTGCACAATCTGTTCTCTCCTCCTCCTCACTCTCCCTCTTTCATCCTCCGCCCGCGCCGTTGGCGCATCTCCCGGTGCACCCGAGATGCGGCGCCCCCCGCGGCCCCATCTCTCTTTACTTTTTGGCCGAGGTCGCAGCTCACGGGGGGGTGCTGGTGACGCATCCACAGTGACACTCAGCGATATCCATCGTAATATTCGACCAAGCAGACGACGCCACCCCACCTGCGGCCCTCCATGTTGCGTTACGGCCCATCGGATGCCGTTGCGCATACTGCGCAAAAGCCCGCGTTGGATTTCCGGGTATCTGCTCAGCCCCCTGGGGCCGTAGGTGGGGTGGTGTCGCTGGTTTTTCTGGTCCAAATATGGGGCCCAATGTGGCTCAAAGACGCTGCGTCGTGGTGGTTCTCAGGGCTGGCTCACTACTACCTCTCAGCCTCTCCCACCCAGACCGCCCAGCAGTTGCCTCCTCCTCGTGCGTCTCCGAGCGCCGCGCCCGCGCGCAGGGGCAGGCGCCCTTGTCGAGGCGCGCGGCGAGGCCCCCCGCCGCTGCAGGGAGCGCGGAGTTGCTGCAAGGCGCGACTGCGGCGGCTGGCGGCCGTTGGCCGGGCGTTGTCCTCCGTGGTTCGGTCGCGCCGTGCTCCGCGGGTCGGAGAGCCCGGATGCCGGGCTCTCCTCTGGGGCTCGGCTCTGTCGTGGCGCGATCGTCTCGGGCCGGTCGCAAGGGGGGATTGGGAAAGGGGGGGGTTCGAAATTTGCTGCATGCAGCTGGTTTCGGCCTCACCGAGGGGCCCATTCCTCGATACCTGGCCGCCTCCGGCGCCAGGAGGCGCCGGGAAAATCAGCTACGTGAACTGATTCTCAACCCCCCCTTTGCTATCCCCTCCTTTCGCCCGACCCGATCGTCCCCCCGGCGGCCTCCAAGACGTGCTGCCCCCGACACGGCGGGGGCGGCGGGCTCACCCGGCGTCGGGCTACCCTGCGAGTCCCAGGGGCGCTGCGGGCTATCGTCGCTGACAAGGCGGCCGGAGCGGAGAAGGACGGGGGACGAGGCACGCGCGCGAAGGAAAGGTTCGGTGGCAAATCCACGGGAGCCTGGTGTACCCTCTGAGTTTTGTCTCTGGCGTTGACTGGCGCCTGGGGATCGATGAGCGAGCACCGACTTGGCGTCGGTAAACGTCGACCAGCGTCTACTCGCGTCGATTTAGCGTCGACTAGCGTCGATTCAGCGTCGACAGGCGTCGATTCGCAAGCGCCGACAAGATGGTATGGGAGGCTCCCATGAGTTGCCACCGAAGAAAGGGTTCTGTCCTGAGGGAAGCATGTCCTGGAGAGGTGGTTCTCCGACGTCGGGCCCTCCAAGCCCTCCTACGGGTCTTGGGGCTGGCAACGCTGATTCAGGATTGACAGCTGGTCCTGGGACAAGCCCTGGAGGTCCAGGACCCGTTTCCCTCAGGTCCCGCGTCCTTCATGCCAGACGGGTTGGAGCGAGGAGTAGGGATTCCAACATCACCATGCCAGGTGGGCCGCCCTGGCGAGGAGGTCCACAGTGGCTTCCCAAGCCGGGGGTGGGCGATGTGTTGAGCGAGACGCCGAGCAGCAGCGACATCACACCATCACAAAGACGCCTCCTGCAGTGAGAGTTGATGCTGGTGCCGATTTCTTGTCGTTCTGGCTTTGGCAGGGGGGCGTGAGCCAGCAACGCCTACGTAGCGCCCCTGGCATCCATCTACAGGTGAGCAAAGGGAGGCCTGGCATTCATCTCACCGCGTGTTACAGTGGAGGCCCATGCCATGGAACACCCTGCTCGCCTCCAGGCTGCGCTGTGCTTCTTGGGTTTCGCTGGCTCTGCGATGGAAAGCGTGACGTTCCCGCACCAAAAGTCCATGGACGTCCTGGGGTCTCAGGGTTGGATTTCTTGCGGAAGGTCTCTCTCTTGTGGACGAGTTCCAGCTGTATACCTTCCCCCCCCGCTTCTGCCCCCCTGCCCGAACCCCAGCAAGCCGACCCCTTCTGTGAAGACCCTTCGCATGGTTTTTTAAATATTCTGGGGACGATATCCCCATTATTTGTTTGACCATTTTGGAGTATGTTTGTAGTATTCGTAATTCTTCGTCGAGAATCGGCCTGTAGGGGGACAGGCCGGGCCTCCACTGGACGCAGTGCCCATGGCCTCTGCCGGTGCGCAAAAGGAGGCCCTGGGTTTCTTGGGTGCCGAGGCGTGACGTTCCCGCACCAAATATCCACGGACGTCCTGGGTTCTCAGGGTTGGGTTTCTTGCGGAAGGTTTCTTGTGGACTGGCCTACATTGTGCGTAGCGCCCATGGCATCTGCCAGTGACGCGCGCGCATTCTCGCGCCCTGCGTCGCCCCTGCGTCGCCCCCCCTTGGAGAGGTGCAGACCGCCAGCCGTGCTCGTCGGGGATCTCCTGACCCGGGTCCACCCAGACCTGTCCTCCTCCTCCTCCCCCCCCTCCTCCTCCTCCTCCTCCTCCTCCTCCTCTCCTCCTCCTCCTCCCTCCTCCTCCTCCTCCTCCTCCTCCTCCTCCTCCTCCTCCTCCTCCTCCTCCTCCTCCTCCTCCTCCTCCTCCTCCCCCTCCCCCTCCCCCTCCTCCTTCTCCTGTGCGCAGCGCCCACGGCATCTGCCGGCGAGCAGCAGGGGGGCCCAGCGCGCCTCTCCGCGCGCAGTCGTTTTGCTTCGGGCTGCGGCGAGGCGCCCTGGCTCCCAGCAGGAAATGCATCGGGAGGGGAAGAACAAAAGCACAGACATAATGAATCGTCGAACAAAAAATTAAAAAAATGAATCGTCGATCCCCCCAGAAGATATTGGAGAACATGGGGAGTGGGGGGGGGAAGGCAAAGGCCCAGGGAAGATGAGAAAGTATGGGGACTCCTGCTCTTTGTGTGCATTCACGTGTGTGTGTGCCCCTTGAATGTTCTAAGGACCGTTTGTGGTCTGCACGGGATGTTCTCAGAACGTTTTTTGGCTGGGACTGTCCTGTTCTGGGAACATGCTTGGGGTTCTACGAATGGGTTTGTGTTCTAAGACCATTGCTCTTGTCCTTGGAACATGTTCGGGGTTATACGTATCCTTCGTGGTAGCCCTACAGGAGTGCCGGGACGGTCGCTCGCACACAGCAGTCACGTGCTCGGCCGCCCCACTGTTTCTTTCCGCCGTGCCGATGTAGTCAAGCTCTTTCACAGTCCCTTCGAGCTCGCATTCTTCTGGGTCTCGGCGGGAAGCATCGCCATTCCTGCGACATGGTGGGAGCAGAGCTCGAGCAGTGGTGAAGCGCCCTGGCTCGCCCATAGCCCTACCAAGCAATGTTCTAAGAACCTTATGTGGTTTCCACGAAATGTTCTTAGAACATTTCTGGCGGAGTCTGTCTTGTTTGAACACATCGGGTTCATGTTCTAAGATTTTGCTTTTCTTATTAGATAAGTTTTGGGTTCTACGAACATTTCGTGGCAGGACTATAGGAATGCCAGGACGGTCGGTCCCTGCTCAAAGAGCAGACAAGATGGCAAGGATAGCTTGAGCACCCACAGCCCGGCAGGGGTGGCTGGTTCGAGTTGTTCTTCGTTTGCTGGGCGCGGCATCACGAATGATATAGGTCTCGCTCCATGCCTGGTCACGCACGTCTGTTTTCTAATGGTGTTGCGACGCGACAGTGTGCGATATAAGCATTGCGAACGCGGCGATGTTGACTTGTACAACACGAGACCTTCTTTGTGTGATGCTCGAAGGGGGGGGGTCGAGTCCCCACACTGAGTCGAGCATCGCAGCCATTGCGGACACGGATTCGCAGTCCTCGGCGGGTGTGCTGTCATTAGTCGAGCCCGTTCGACGACACCGTTCGGTTCGATCGATTATATGACATCGGTGGTACATGCTGATGTCTGCACGTGGCATCGGTCGATCAGTCAACGCCTGCACCCCAAAAAGCGAATCCTCCTGTCAGCAGATGAGTTCAGGTCGGATTGATTCGATCGCGCAGACGATTTGATGGATCTGGGATGGAGGTCGGCCTTCGGCCAGCCATGGGGAGGTAGTCCAGGAACCGCCAGAAGCCGCCGAAGAATTTCCGACTACTTCCGGACACCATCTCAAGCTTTTGGAGGAAAGAACAACAGGACCAACAATTTCAAAACTTTCCGAAGATCACCGAGGGCCTCCGAAAGCCTCTGCGAGGACCTCCGAAGAACTCCGAGAGCGTGCGATGACCTTTGAGACCGCCCATGATCCTCGGAACAACTCCCAACTCCTTTCAGAACGTGGAACATATTCATAACTCTGGAAACAACAAACAACAGTAACATAACATTTGGCGACGGGCAGCGCGCGGAGCTCATGCTGCGCACCAGCCTCGAACTGATTCTTGTCCCTGAGGTCGACAAGCCCATGCAGTGGGGGCCCATGCCAAGAAACACCCTGTTTGCCTCCATTGTGCCCTGGGGTTCTCTGGTTTCGATGGTTCTGCTGTGGAAGGCGTGACGTTCCCACACCAAGCATATGTGGACGTTCTGGGGTCTCAGGATTGGGTTTCTTGTGGAAGGTTTCTTGTGGTCGGGCCCCTACTGTATCCGTGTCCACGACCTCGCGGGCCGGGCCCCTGGGCCGCGACCCCGCGAATACGGGGCGCCTGTTTCTTCGCGGATGCCCTAGGCAGGACGTATCCGTACGGCTGCGTGTGCGCGGGATCGCGCCCCAGAATCCAGGCCGAGAGGGCGCGGTCACGGACATGTTCGCCGCTCGTGGATTGTTGGGCCCAGAGGTTGGGTGTAAATTCATCGAGCAGGAAAAAACCGAACCCGAAGTAGCACGATGAAGACGTGGCCTCACTGATAACCCGGCTTCGCATTAGGGATCATGATTCTGGGCGTTTTGGTTTGACACATCCGAAGAAAAGACCCCGGTCTCTGATGTTCCTGGCCCTCCCGACGTAGGTACTCTCCCAGAAGGGTCATCGGGGCCCTCTTCTTATGCCTCAGCACAGGTGCCACCTGCCCCAGACCGGGAGGGCGCCAACACCGATCCTGGGCCCAGGGGGGGCCTGGCCATGATCGATGAGAGGGTCAGTTGGCGTCGCCCCCAGAGAAGGGACAGTCCAAGGTGCGAGAGCCGTCCGAGGCACGGGTCGAGAGCTGTGGGAGCCCCTTGCGCTGACGTCTCGGAACTCCGAGACACCAGGACAGGGCTCGTTTGGATTCCTCCAGTTCGATTTTCGGTTTCGGTGGCCTTCGACTCCGATTCGATTCGTTTTCGGAGTCCGAGTTGGGCTCCGATGCCTTACTGGACGCATGCTGGCGTGCCGATAGTCCGCCGAGTCAATTTCTCCCGACTCGGCTGCCGATTTCCGCCGGTTCGATGTATGTCGATCGCCGATCCGACTTGTCGATTCGACTCTGGGCTCTCCGGCCAGGACCCCAGGCCCAGGCCTGTGTCCGAGGACGAGCCTGTCCCGCCTGCCTTGCCGCCAGCGGGCTTGCGCCGCCGATCGTCCGCCGTCGTCCCGTTCTCGCTCGTCGTTGCGCTCGTCGTCGCTCGCCGTCGTCGTCGCTCGTCGTCGCTCGGCTCGGTCGGTCCGTCGCTCGCTCGTCGCCGCTGGTCGCTCGTCGTCGCCCGCCGCCTCTGTCCGTCGCGGCTGGCCTGCGGGGTGGTGGCAGGCAGCTCGAGAAGCGGCTGCGCAAGCAGCGGAAGATGTGCTCCGTGCGGGAGAAGAGCGGCATGTGGGGCTACAAGGTCGGGGGCTTGGGGTGGAGGGTTTCTCCCAAAGGTTAGGCGTCCTGTCCTCCTCCTCCTCCTCGTACTCGTCCGCCTCCCCCTCCTCCTCCTTCTCCTCCTCCTCCTTCTCCTCTTCCTCCTCCTCCTCCTCCTCCTCCTCCTCCTAGCGCCAGCTGGCACGAGCACGGATCCCGTGGCCAGTCAGCGTCCACCGAAGGCCCCAGTGGCACAGGCCGCATGCTAGGACCGCCACCCATGTTTGCACACCCCTCACACGGTTCGTGGCCCCACAGGAAGCTCCACCGAAGGCCCCAGCGGCACAGGCCGCATGCGGGGATTGCGTTACATTTTGGCACATTGTTTCTTCGGCTTGTGGCCCCACAGGGAGTTCCACCGAAAGCGGTACCCACGATGCGGTCTTCGCAGCTGCATATGCCTGGGTCGTTCGTCAGGCTAATGATCCACGCCCTTACCGAGAGCAGCACGGCAGCTTGATGACGAAGCTGACCTCGCGGAGGCAGTGCTCCTACAGAGTGTGTCGCGCTCGACCTCTCGTCGACCCGCCGCCGCCACCACCATCTACCTCCACCTCCGACCCACACTCCACGTAATTAACAGCGGTGCTTGGCCAGAACGTGAGACACGAGGCCGCACGTGTCAAACCAAAGTTGAAGTGTACGGCACTCGCAGCAACCAGGCACGAGGTTGACAATGTGAGAAAGGTAGGCACCTGGCACTCGCAGCAACCTGGCACAAGTTGAAGTGAAAGGCACGGCAACAGCGGCACGAGGTTGAGAATGTGAGAAACACGGCAGAGACGTGCTGGGCCGATGTTCAATTGTGTGACACTCGCCGCTATGCTTCTGAGGCTCTGCCGTCCCCCTCCTCCCTCGCTCCGGCGAGCCCTAACACCTCCGAAACCGCCCATTCCGAGACAAAATGCCGATAGCGAGGAACATTATGACCTTCGGAGCCTCACTGGTGCAAAATAGTTCGAGATGACAAATAACACGCATGCAAACGACGATGGGAGGATGGAACAACCTTCGTGCGTCTGTGTCTTCGTACCATCTCCGAAGTGCCGAATGCACGATCTCTGGCTCTATGTGGAATGACTGCTGATAGAGGTGCCGTTGCCATCCGTCAGGCATTCGTTGCCCCTCCTCCTCACCCTCTAGCTGGAAGAGGAGGAGGAGGATAGGAGGAGGAGGAGGAGGAGGAAGAGGAAGTGGAGCAGGAGGAGGAGGACCAGGAGTAGGAGTAGGAGTAGGAGGAGGAGGAGGAGGAGGAGGAGGAGGAAGAGGGCGAGGATGATGAGGGGGGGCGGACAAACAGAGGAGAGGAGGAGGAGGCAGGAGGAGGAGGAGGAGGGGAGAGAGGAGGAGGAGAGGAGGAAGGAGGGAGGAGGAGGAGGAGGTGGACGACGCCCCCCCACCTCCCTCTCCTCGTCCTGCACGCCCCCCCTCCCCGCGTGCCTCTCTGCCGCTCCCCGCGGCCGCCCCCCTCCGCGAGAGGTCGTGACCACGAGGCTCGACAAGGAGGCGCGCACGCGCTGCTCTGCGCCCGCCTGCCCCGCCCGCCCCCCCCCCCCCGGCTTCAAAGGCGTGGGCGGAGGAGGAGGAGGGAGGAGATCAGAGGAGGAGGAGACAGGAGGAGGAGGAGACAGGCGGAGAAGATGGGGGGGGAGGAGGAGGAGGCTTCAAAGACCTCTGCGCAAGCCGGGGACGTGCTCCCAAGGCCTTTTTCCTTTTCGGCCCAGCGGTGTTTCAGAAGGCGGCGGAGGGGGGGGGGGCCGGAGGGGTAGGCGAGGGGGGAGGGGGGGGCAAGCTCGCGGGGCGAGGGGGCTCGCGGGACGAGCGGGCTCGGACGCCGAGCTCGGCCGAGAAGGGGAGCCCCGGGGCCATCCAGGGCGGATGGCGAGATGGAGGGGCAGGGAGAGGCGTAGGAAGAAGAGGGGAGGAGGATGAAGAAGAGGGGTGGAGGAGGAGGAGGAGGAGGAGGAGGAGGAGGAGGAGGAGGAAGAGAGGAGGGAGAGGAGGACCAGGAGCAGGAAGAGGGGAGGAGGGTGAGGATGGGGGGGGGGGAAGCTAGATGCGCTCGCGTCATATCTGTTCTCCTACCCCTCACGCCCATCCCTTCCCATTGCGCTGCCTGTCTCTTTGGGTTCCCGGATGCGTGCCACAGCGGACCTGAAATTGCAACAACAAGACATTTTGCTCAGCGCCATCGGAAATGGGGGACTTGTGTTCATACTTTGGAGGAGGAGAAGTGGCGAGGGAATGAGCGTCCTCCCCCACCTTTCTCCTCCTCCTTTGTCCTCCTAGGAGCGCCGATATCCTGGCGTGAGCCACGAGATCTCCTGGATGTTGCGCCCCCCTCTTCCTCTCTCGATGCGTTCCCTGCCCACCTCTCGTCCGCGCCCGCACCTCGGGCCTTGACGCGCTAGACCTTCTTCCCCTCCTCCTCCTCCTCCTCCTCCTCCTCCTCCTCCTCCTCCTCCTCCTCTTCCTCCTCCTCCTCCCTCTCCTCCTCCTCCTCCTCCTCCTCCTCGTCCTCGTCCTCGTCATCATCATCAGCATCAGCATCAGCAGCATCATCACCCTCTTCACCATCACCAGCATGAGCATCAGCACCATCATCATCAGCATCACAATCACCATCACCATCCTCATCATCGTCATCATGATCCTCTTCATCATAATTATCATTAGCAGCACCATCATCATCATCCTCATCCTCATCAGCAGCAGCATCATCATCATATTTACCTACCCTCTTTACCCTCCTCCCCCTCATCATCATCATCAGCAGCATCATCATCATCATCATTAGCATTATCAGTATCATCATCATCAGCAGCATCATCATCATCATCATCGTCATCGTCATCGTCATCGTCATCATCATCATCATCAGCATCAGCATCAGCATCATCATCATCATCATCATCATCATCATCATCATCATCATCAACATCATCATCATCATACTCATCGTCGTCATCCCCCTCGTCCTCCTCATCCTGCTCTTTCTACTCCTCCCCCTCCTCTTCCTCCTCCTCCCCCTCCTCCTCCTCCTCCTCCTCCTCCTCCTCCTCCTCTTCGTCCTCCTGCTCCACTCCTCCCGCCCCTCGGCGCACCCGCTCCCCCCTCGCGCTGCCGCGGCAGGCGTCCCAGGAGGAGCTGCTGGACGAGCGATGCAAGCAAGGCGCAGGGGGACGGCCGCGGCGCCGCTTATGGCGAGCACTCCGGAAGGACGGTGCCTTCTGAGAAGGCACCGTCCTTCTCCTACTAATTTTTCTCTTTTTTGCTTTTTCTTTTTTTCTTTTTTTTTTCTTTCTTTCTTCTTTTTTTTTTTTTTTCTTTTTTTTTTTTTTTTCTTTTTCCTTCCCTCCTCTCCTCCTCCTCCTCCTCCTCCTCTCCTCCTCCTCCTCCTCTCTCCTCCTCTCCTCCTCCTCCTCTTCCTTTCCTCCTCCCCTTTTTCCTTCTCCTCCTTTTCCTTCTCTTCCCTACTTCCTCCTCTCCTCCTCCTCCTTCCCTCTCCTCCTCCTCCTCCTCCCTCCCTCTCTCCTCCTCCACCTCCTCCTTCCTCCTCCTCTCCTCCTCCTCCTCTCCTCTCCTCCTCCTCTCCTCCCTCCTCTCCTCCTCTCCTCCTCCTCCCCTCCTCATCCTTCTCCTCCTCCTCTCTTCCTCCTCCTCTCCTCCTCCTCTTGTCCTCCTCCTCTCTCTCCTCCGTCTCTCCCGCCTCCACACCCTCCTCTACTCTTCTCTCCTCTCCCCTTCTCTGCTTCTCACTCTCCTCTCCTTTCCTCTCCTCCTCCTCCTCCTCCTCCTCCTCCTCCTCCTCCTCCTCCTCCTCCTCTTTGTTTCGGAGGGGTCCCGATGATCCCTGCACGGGCCTTTGCATGAGCGGCGCAAGAAAAACAGGATCGTTGGCGCCGACACTGGCTCGCAATGTGGCCCCGCCCAAGGTCGCGCGTGAGCGCCTTCGTCTCTAGTGTAGCGTGCCGCGCCAGCGGCCCGCGTGAGCCGCGGCGCTAGGTCGCTGCGCCATCTCGCGCGAGACCCGTTGGGGATCGTCGCACGCCTGGGCGAGGCAGAGGCCCACAAGCGGGCTTCGGTCCTTCTCCGAGGCCCCTCCTCGTGGCAGCACTGGACTGCCGCGGACTGCCGGGGAGCTCAGCCTCCCGAGACGCCAGGGGGCGTCCCTGCCCGGGCGCCACGGGCTTGGGAGAGCGGCCCCCCGGGGGCCCCCCGCGCGGCGTGCACCGGACGCCCCCGGGGGAGCGCCGATCCGCAGGTGCGCCGCCCCGGCCTGGGCGACCTCGCAAGACGTGCGGAGGACGAGGAAGAGAGGAGGAGTGGCCTGACAGTGCGTGCCTCTCATTGCTCAAAGGATCCAGCATGGGCAAGGCAAAGCGAGCATCTCCAGGACCACTCATCAGCACGATCACGTGATGCTTGCGGGGCTCCACAGGAGGCTCATGGAGGTTGCGGAGGAGGAGGTGGAGGAGGGTCAGGACCCGAGGTGGAGGCAGCGGGTCCCCACGACGGGGCTCTTCTCAGAGGTGACCATTGACCTGAGTGGGAGGACGAGAAGGAGGAGGAGGAGAAGGAGGAGGAGGAGGAGGCGAAGGGGGAAGAGGAGGAGGAGGAGGAGGAGGAGGAGG